TACCAAAATGTAATTTTCCAATGATTTTTTTCGTATAAAAATATAAATTTTAGGTACCAAAATGTACAATATAAAAAATATAGGTACCAAATCGTAATTTGCCATTTGGATCCATGGATTGATCCATGAATCCACCAATCCAATTGGATTTGGATCAAATGGATTGGATTTAAATGGATTGGATTAAGTGGATAATTTGGTGGATGGATTGGATTGGATTCATGGATTTTGATCCTAATTGCCACCTCTACAAGTAGGGATGTCAATCCAACCCGTAACCATGGGTACCCTACCCGACCGTAACCGGTCAACGAGGGTAATTACCCGCTTTGACGGGTTAAGGGGCGGGTACGGGTAATACCCGGTTTCAAAATAAAGGGTAGGGTACGGGTATGGTAATCGATAATACCCGCCCCGCTAACCAAATGGTCAATTTCCCTTGAAAAATTTAGTTTAGATTGAGAAATTGAGTTTAGTTACTATTATCGATCTTGATCCTACCTACTCTCAATTCTTTAAGCATAAACAAATCCCCTTTCATCTTAATTCATGGCCACAATTATACATGTATGCACACATCGTGAAATGCTTCTCCTCTTTGCTAACCCACGGTTCTTAGATGCCTTTTCATTTACTCAAAATCCTAGGAAGAACATATATTTGCATGCATTCACGCCAAGACATATAAATACACCCATGCATCGGTTTAAACATAAAATGAAACACCTTTGTGAACTAATGCAACCATAACAGTTTTTTTTTTTTTTGCTAAAATTATCCGCCCTCTACAATTAACACCAAAACCCCTAAATCCTCATTCCCTTGACCATTTCTTTTCCCATAAATAAATAATACACTTCTATAAAAACTTGTATAGGTTTTCACCCAACCAAAAGAAAACTCCTCCATTCCGAGCCTTGCCCAGCTCCTCATGCAAGATTGCCACCAACTCTTAAAGGAGAAGTAAGAAGTATCTTGTATATATTTAGTGTCTCCTCTCTAATCTCCTTTGTCGATGTAGACAATTATTATGTTTGTGTGGATTGTAGAAGCAAGAACAATTATTATGTGTTTGCTATTTTTATTTGTGTGGATTGTTGAAGCTAGAACAGTTACAAGTATTGAGAATTTTTAATGGACAACAATATGTGTGTGCATATATGTATATAAGTTTATAGTTTAACATTCGTACCCATGGTTACCCGAATACCCGTGGTTACCCGGTGGGTAGGGTATGGTTATATAATTTTCATACCCGGTGGTTATTTGGCTGGGTATTTTAGAAGGCTCTACCCGGCGGGTTAGGAGTTGGTATAGGGTAAACCCGCACCCGACCCTACCCATTGCCATCCCTATTCACAAGAATAATACCACTTACCAAGACTCCCCAATTTTCTATTTGCCTGAAGCCCTAACCGTCGGATTTTTTTAATTATATTTTGGGAATTTCGGCAACAGAATTTAATCTCGTTTTGAACTTTTTAATCGAATATATCACATGACATTGAATTTGAAAAAGTACATTGTCGAAAACTCGAAATACAAGGGGTTTTCATTACAGAAATGTTATTTTCACAAAAAAACACACGCATCCCACTTTGTGCAATTGTCCCTATCCAATGGCCCAACTGCGCATGTGTCCTCTAGGCGGACAGAAGGGAAGGGCGAGTGGTTTCTGTTATATGATGGAAATGGTATATACAAAGAGTATGTATATAAAATTGGATATATATTTAGCTCTCAAAATTGTCGATATGTCCGAGTGGTTAAGGAGACAGACTTGAAATCTGTTGGGCTTCGCCCGCGCAGGTTCGAACCCTGCTGTCGACGAGTCATTTTTTCGCATTTCTTTTTGGTAGGGCCCAAAAGCTATCCAGCCCGCATATATGCCTTTGATTTTATGGGCTGGGCGTAAGCCAGAACAGTTTCCGATGGAGTATTTTTCAGCCCAAACCATCGAAACGTTACCTTTTTAGAATTTTTTTTAAGTGCGCTTTGGCTTCTGCGTGGGCCAGAACCGGGGGCACAGGCCTTGATAATCTCTTCACCAATTACAAGCCTAGTCCATTACTAGCTTTTTTAGGAGGTCCGGTCCATCCACACAGACAAAATGATCATGGCATGTTGGTGCTTTGTGAAGGGGATATTTGAAGGGTGAGTAATAGTATACTAGGTAATAGTATACTAGAAAGTAAAAGTGAGAGAGGTGTGTGATTGGGTTTTTACATAACACCATAATTTGGTCGGACGAAATTTATAAAAAATGTTGTTAACAATTATTGAACGTTAAATGCTTGAAAGAGCAGAAGCGTCATTTTAAGAAACTGAAACATTATGCAGGGTAGATTACTCTAAAAGTTTCTCGACTTATAGTTCCCTCTTTACCTATTTGAATGTGTATTATGCATCTTTTATCTTAAAATGGAGCCCCAGCCTCGACTTAGCTGGTGCCACCGGTTGCTTACTTAATATGGTTGCCTTCATTGTGGGAAGTCGAAACTGAGTTATGACCACTGTGTTACTGTTACATATCACCATCCGATTTCATGCCAAATCAACTACCTCGTTGCATATCTTTGTCCGATAGTGTGATCATTCATGTGTAAGGCTAGTTAAGTGAAGTTTTAAACTTGTTCGTACCTATTAACTTGACAACTTGAGCTTGATTGATTGCTTGAATTAGTCTATCGTACCATGGAGAGATATAATTATATCATTACTTGTTTACATAATTACTTATACTTGTTTAAGATGATCTCGCACACAATCGGGAGATAGATTATGCTTAATTATCTTACTTAGTGGCTTACTCAAGACATAGTTTATTGTTGGTTCATGATGTTATAGATTTTTAACGTAGGACTAACGTAAACAACCTGTAAATTTAAACATGAAATTGATATTCATGGTGGGTGGTATGAACCAAACGATTAGACCAAAACAACTCGGTCGGACCATAATCGAACCAGACATAAACAAACATCAGGGGAAGAGGCGGTCGCCTAGGGGCCATAGCATGGATCTGGAGGAGCTTCCAATGAAGCATATCCACATCCGATGACACCTTGGAATGATGACCGACTTCCCAAGTGCATGTTGGAGATCTAGCAAGGATCGAGGACTGGACCAGGTGAAAGAGGAGGATACTAGTTGAAAGAAGAGAACGAATGGGAGTTCACCAACGCACTCAGGCACTAGTAAAGGCAGAGCTAGCATAATCATGGGTGTCAGGAGAGTTTTGGGATAGGCAAGTATGTTGAGTATAACTCCGTTTATGAGTTGAAGATAGATATGATTTTCAGGGCTAAACCTCCAACCATTGAGTTTCCCCAATTCAATGGTCAAGAGGATGCATAATTGTGGTTGTATGATGCAAACAAGTTGCTAAAAACCATGATGCTCGAGAGAAAATGAAGGTGCATCTGATATCCGTATACATAGAGGGAGATGTTATGTAGTGGTGGGAATTGATAAAGTGATCCTATGTCGAGGCTGAGATGTTAATCACCTTGACGATGCTTAAAGGGAGATTTTATATTCCAATTGGGACAGTGAGAAGGATGAGCGCCCGAACAGCTTGCCAAACTGAGATAGACTGACACATTCCCAAAATAACGTTTTGAGTTTTTAAAGTTGGGCAACATGTGCAAGAGGATGCCCGAAGATACCTTAGTGGGTGTGTATTTGGAAGGCCTAAAGCCAGAGCTTGATGTTGCAGTAAATATATTTGAGTCTGACTCGTTGAGAGTGGCTTTTAGAATTGCAGGACGCAAGGAGGAGGAGCTAGCTAGCTAAAAGGGGAGTGCATGTCATTTTTAGAAGGCTACAGAAGGTCGGGAACCAGAGGGGGAGCTGCACAAGTGACATCCCAAGTGGCGGGAACGCTGACCCCGACACTAACCATGACAACACGATTGCCATGCGATCCGGGCCTCCCTTGCCTTGCTGGCTAGGTGAATCTAAGTTCTCTTCTTGTCTGTAAAGAAAAAACGACTTCCATAGAAAGTCTTAGTGGCTTCGTAAGGTTGAAATCGACAAAGATAGAACAGAAGCGTCGGGAGGACGATTGCTTCAACTGCAATGAAAGGTACATAGTGGGGCATCTGCACCACTACACCAATGCCCATCTGATGTTGTTGGTGGGTAATATAGAGGACGAGGTTGAGAAGCTAGCAGCGGAAGAAGGCAAGATGAACAGTGAAGATGTGGGTCAACCTTGAGGATAATGTTGATTTGAAAGAGAATTGAATGTTAGAACATACTTTTTGGATATTTCAATATTTTGATTTCTTGTTGGGTTACTTATGTTTTGATACTTTGGATGTTTTGAGTATTGAGGTATTTTAGGGGAAAGTACATGTATTAATAGTAATTAATGTGATTATATATTTTGTAATATCTAGAGATTGTTGGCCTTTAAGTAAATTCAGAACAATAATCCTAAACTCTAACCTTTCCCTCTCCCCTCTCTTGTTCTACCTTTCCCCTCATCTCTCTCTCTCTTCTTCTTCCCTAATTCTATTCTACTAATCTCGAATTTCCCCAATTCGCTTATTACCCAATCGTGTAACACTAGACGTTGAAGGCTAGATCCATTGTTCTTGCAAGATGAATGTGGAGAGGAGGTGACTATTATCCTACTATTAAGGCGAAATTCAATTGTATAGCCAAAACTTTGACGTTTGTGACAAATATAGCCACTTTTGGAGAAATACCAGAAATAGCCAGAATTTTGAAAGTTCGATGACAAATATAGCCATTTCCGTTACATAGTTTGACGACGTCAATGACACCGTTAGTCTAATTAACGGAATGATGATGTGGCTGCCAACTCATCACACACGTCAGCGACAAGTCATCATTATCATTGCCACATCATTTTGATTTATCTTTTAACAATTCTGGATGGATAAATGAAAAAAAAAAATTCAAATAGTTTTTTTTATCTGAACAATTTTTATTTATTTATGAAAACTAAAACAATAAAACAATAAATAATTTTATCTCACATCCCTCTAACCCTCTCTTCTCTCTGCCTCCGCCCGCAGCCGTCTTTCTTTCCTCCACAGGCGATCAAAACCAATCGCCACCACCTCCTAGTGCCATCTCCGATCTCGCTTCCCTCGATACCGCTCCTCCTTCGACCAGTAGCAAGCCAGATCCCCCTCCCCCCAAATCCCGGGGAGACCACTGAAACGACAGCCGGCAAAGACGCCGACCAAGAGCGACGCCGACTTCGCACCGTTTCCTCCGTTCGTCGCTTCCTCTGTTTGTCGGGCACGGAGCCTTCAGATCATCTGACCTCGTTCTATTGGTAAGGACCACAAAACCCTCGCAGCTTCGAGCTCAATCAATCGCTAACCTAACTCAACCTGTGTTCATGAACCAAAGTTTTGCCGGCGGGATTGCGGCGATTTAGAGCTCTGAAGCCGTCGATGTCGCAGCAGGAGCGGCAGTGACTTAGATCTGGGGGTTGGTGGCGGCTGTTGCGGAATGAAAATAAATCGTGGTTAGGGTTAAATTTGTTGGGAGAATTCCCAAGCTAGGAAAGGTTAAGGAAATCTTTCTTCTTTACTTCGCCCTCTTCTTCTCTGTTCTGTAACTTTACCTTTCTTGTTCATCTTTTCGATCCCTAGAGTCTTTCCTAAAGTCAGATTTCAGAATTCGGTGTGGTAGGTTGGTGGTGAGTGTGAAGGTTGGTGGTGGCTGTCGGTTTGGAAATTGGGGAGGAGGAACAGAGGGGAGTGATTCTGTGGAAGAATGGGGAAGGAGAGAGATTTGGAAGGTTGGTTGGGAGGGAAATTGGGGAGGAGGAACAGGGGGAGTGATTCTGGAAGAATAGGGGAAAATGAGAGAGATTGAGAAGTTTAGGTGGGAGAAGAACGGAGAGGGAGAGAGAAAATAAAAAAAATATTTAATTATTTTATTTTCATTTTTTCTTATTATTCCAGCTCATATTTTTTATGATTAAAAGATTAACATGTCAGCTTTTCCGTTAGTCCAGTCAACACGTTAATTGACACCGTCAAACAATTGGACGGAAGTGGATATTTTTGGTATTTCTCCAAAAGTGGCTATATTTGGCAAAACCGTCAAAGTTTTGGCTATACAAGTGTATTAGGCCTACTATTAATTATCGACAATATTAAGTGTACTGTCTAGTCTTTATTGTTTTTATTTATTATATGTACTCTTTCATCTTTATTATTATTTTCATGTGCTATGTGTTAGAAACAAGTAGACTAAATTTTCAAAAACATAGAAAACATAGTAACAAATTTTATGTTATGTGTACACTTTCGTCTTTAATATTTTTGTGTGTTATGTGTACTCTTTCGTCTTTATGATTTTCAATAAATTAACGACTAATTTTTAAAAACATATTTTTGTCTCGGATATAATAAAAACCCATCAAAAAATCATTTTAAAAAAATAGTAACAAAATATAAATAATTAAAGTGAAAAATATAATTAGAATGCAAATAAGTATGTTTATTGAAAGAAATTAGAAAAAAAAAGATAGGGAGGTTACTTTGAAAGCTTGTAGGGTTGGACATTTGAGAGGTTGGGATGGGAGGCCAAATTTAACTTGTTGGGTTAGTAGGGGTGGCAGTTAGGTTACCAGTTACCGGTTAACTGACTAGTTAAATCGATAACCGGCCGGTTATCCACTAACCGATAACCGAAGTAATCGAATTTCGGTCGGTTATCGGAAGCTGGCCAAAATGATTTTTGATCTTAAAAGTGGTTTGGTTAACCGATAACCGAGGTAACCGAGAAATCGAAATCTATTTCGGTCGATTTTCGGTAAGGGGGGTGTTTATTTTGGTTAATCGGTTATCGGTTATAACCGAAATAACCGAACTACCACCCCTATATGGGTTAGAGTTAATCTTATTGACTTGTCCTAAAGTTCATTGTTTGCCCATTGACCTGCAAATCCCATGATTGGCAAATAGACTCTTTGAAATCCTTAATATCAATAAATTCATTTAAAATTCCATAGCTCGTTTTATCTGAAACATCCAATAAACAAAGTGAAGTGTATTGTTGTGCTTCTGCAGCTTTTATCACACTTTTGCAATACAACTGAAATCCTTTTTTTCCCCAACATGATCAATACAGCCTCCAGCGAAAACAAAACTATTACTTTGCTCTCAAAAAGTACTCATCCGCAAAAGAGAAAACAATGTCATGACCCCCAAACAACATGTAAAAGAAGTAAACAAAGACTATTCACATCAACCATTCATTTTGTCCCGCCAAAACCAGAAGAAGAAAAAAAGAAGAAGCTCCGAATGCAAATTCTATAGATACAAATTACAGCAACCATCATCTTCTTCAATCTCATCCACCAACCACCACTTCCTGTGGCACTATCTCAGGGTTCACTGAACTCGACACTCTCCCATCATCAACCTGACCAGTGCTTTCCTCAGCATTATCAGATGGGTGAAGGCTCACTACAGCAGAATCATTCTGGGTTTCTTCTTTTTTCTCCGCGTCAGCAGCTTTCAGGGCCTGGCTCTTTTCTCCACCTGCACTTGCTGCGGACTTGGGTTTGGCCTTGGTAGCCTTCCCATGATCAGTAGCTGCAACAACTCTTTGTGACTGAACTTTAGACTGCTGAGGTTTCTTGACCTGTGTTTTCGAGGCAACTGCATTTTTCACAACGTTGGTTTTAGGTTTCTCCTTGGTTGAGTTGCTTGGCTCCAGGCTGCGAATGGATGAGCTGATGCCACCTTCCGACGATTTGTTCATCGTGGCGCTGACACTCTTGTTTCTTCCAAGCTTCGGTGATCTTGGGCGTGTCGTTGGAAGCTGCAAGAGTTTATATAAGAACCCAAAAACAGAAAGGAAAAAAGGACATTCTAAAACAGATGATTAAAGGAGCAAAGAGGGAATACCTTCTTCAGTTCAACTTTGGAAGGCGGCTCCTTATAGAATGTTGGCATAGGTGCGGCCCTAAATGTTAAGCTCTTCCTCAGTTGCTTGATTTCAGCTTCCTGGCTCTCCTGCAGGGGGGAAAGGGTCAAAGTTAACCACCTTATGCAGTTCATTTGGCATTTTTGTGGCTAAGTGCGCCTAGAAAAGTGGAAAGGGAAGCTGAGATCCCCCTTTGTAAAGTGCATTTTCAAACCCTTCCTATTCGAAGTACATTCTTTTACATCAAAAGTGTCGTTGATAAACAGTATCATTTGCTCATTTTCATGTTATTGCAAATATCACTCTCCCAATTACACAAAGCAAAACAACTGTTAGTGATATTGGTGAGTGGTGACAGAAGGAACAAAGTCTATAATATGGGGAAGCAAAGTGAATTAACTTACCTTGGTTTTTTCTTGCAAAGTGCTCTTTTCAGCTTCCTTAGCATGGATCTTCTCTTCCAACTTCGAAAAGAACTAATGAGGAGAAGGGATTCAAATCATACAATTAGTATTTCACACATTTTGTTGGCAGAAACTATCAGCAATAACAAATGGAATTCAAAACTCTGCAGAGAAGGTGGATCATCACCTCTCTCCTCTTTTCAGCACGTTCTTCCAATCTAGAGGAAAACCCAGAGGCAGAAGTCCTTCGAGTACTAGTGGCACCCCTAATAGAGATAAAAACATTGTATTTATCCCTTATCCCACTCAGAGAGCAAAAGGTAATTTGGAAAAAAGACACTTAGGACAAGAGCAATACGAAGCATTTGAATGTGTGTCATCATCTTCTTTGATCGGCGATGATGTGGCAACTGGCTTCACGATTTGATCACCTGACCTGAAAACAACATTTCCAGAAACCAAAGAATTATATATTCTTTTTTTGCGTTAACCTAACCAATATTAATATGTGCAACAACAAACATGAAAGATAAAACCAATGGTGCCACCAGTTGACAAAGGCAAGATGGCTTACTCAGGAACCTCGGGTGGAGGGGATTTGGCAGCTTCATTTACAGAACTTGATTTCACAGGTCTGGTAGCAAAAGAACTCTGCCTTGAAGGCACTTTAACACCATTGCTAGTCACTTCCTTAGATGCCACCCCACTAGTAGTTGCACGCCTGCTTGGTTGATTAGAAGGGCGAAGCGAAGTGACTGATCTACTGAAGTTCATTCGAGATTTTGTGCCTTCATTAGGGGAAGGTTTAGTGTATGTTTTGGCAGGGGTATGTCCATCAACGCTCCTCCTCATTTTATCAGCATGAACTCCTCTAACAGCAAATGATAAACTCTGAGTAAGTCCAGCTGGCCTCTCTTTGCGCGAGGATGAACCAGGACCAACTTTTGAGTTGATTTTATCCTTAGCAGCTACTTTGCTGTTCTTTGAAGAAGCCGAAACCTTTGAAGTACCATGCTCCTGAACAATATATCATTGTGAACTATTGTCAGTCCTTACTGGCCAAGCATGTTTCAATGGAACAAGCCAACAAAAAAATAAGACCATGGGGATGGTACATTGTACCTTTAAGGGTTTTGAGAGTTTACTTTCTGATGAAATTGCAGAGGTTTCTTCAGTCTTTGTGCCTTCAGCTTCTGCAGAAGGCTTTGAAGTTTCATTTGCATCAGATGGACCTCCATCATTGGAAGCAATGGTCTCCTCCACCTTTCCATCACTTACCTCAGGAGCTGTTTCATCACTCAACTCAACTGAGTTCTCAGGCTCCATCTCTTATCCAAGATCTGGGAGCACAGCGAAACTGCAGAACCGATGCTGAAAAAACTGTCAACAAGTTGCATACCACAAGCTGTGGACTATTCATTGAGCAAAAGAGTATTAAGAAAGTCCTAATCATAATCTAAGCAGAGGGGGGATCTAGTGAAAACCAGTTTTCCATAAACCAAATAGAGAATAGAAATTGGTGAAATTTTCAGACAGAAATCCAATGTGAAACTCTCAAGATCTGGCATTGCTGAGCAGTTGGACAAAAGATTCAGGTTTCAAATCATCAACAGGAAAGCAGAGCAAGAGAAGCACAAAACGCACTGAGAGATAGTCTAATAGTGAGTGAGAGCGGTTAAATCTCCTAAACCATATGGTATGAAATACCCATTTCACATTTAACAAGTAACCGGATACTAGACTCACAGATAACAGCCATTCGCTCTGATCAACTACAATCCAACAACCACGAGCACGAAATCTATAACCAACCCATGTATAATCATCATATTTCAAAACATTATCTCACAGCCATTGCACTTGACAGGTGCATGTGATTTTAAGCATTGAAGCGATCATCTCGAGAAGTCAATGACTGATCTACATCATGGAGGGCAACATACCTAAAACGCATTCCCTACACGAGCTTCCGTTCACTTCAAGTAGATACGGACAGAGCACAGTTTCTAACTAAAATTCTAATCAACTCCACTAAGCAGTCCGTATAAAAAACTAGCTGTCTAAGTTCTCACCAATATCAAGCAAGCTCTAATTACAAAGTTTCAATTGCCTTATCATCAAAGCAAAAACATCAAAACATGAATCATCGCTTAGCTTTCTCCCGTTGGGAAGCACCTAGTCAACTGGTTCATAAGCTCAAAACTCTAAACAGGTAACGGTAGAACAGGCGAAACAAGGAATGGGAAGATCGATCAGCAGCCAGAAGAGAGTCACAATCCACAGCCCAAGTCTGAAACAGCAATGGAAGAATTCACTAATTACATGATCGAAGGCGTAAGGGGGGGAAATCTTAGGCCAGCAGCCGAAAATTCGAAAAAACCTCTGAGACACGATAATTCGAAATCCGGACAGAAGAATTCGGCCGATTCGAGGGCGCAAATGATTATTTCTCTCTACCCTATCTTCGATCTGAAGAAAGTGAACGGAAGACAGACAGAGAGAGAGAGAGGAGACACATAAGAGATAGAGGCAGAAAGCTGTGAGTGAGTGGGAATTCATTAGATCGGAGTGAAGGAACTTAATTTTTCCACATTTTCTGAGCAATCAAACACCATGTCATGCAGAAGATCAGAAACCCACCTCAAAACAAAGCGCAATACTCACACAAACAGAGCAACCCAGCAACAACTCTGGCAACAGTTTCGTACAGAACGAAGTGGGCACGCGAAATCAATCCAAGTCTCAAACTTTTCAAACTTACTGCCACTCAAGAACCCAGCAAATCAAAACCCAACAGAAGATCCAGCACAATTTTTCAGCAGTAAATACCCAAATCAAGCCACTCAAGAAGAATATAAACAAGGTGGGGGGGAATACAGAGGACAATCACAGGGAGTGGAGAATTGCAAGAAGAAAGCCAGACATCACAAACATGAAGAAAGCAGTGGCAGTGAAGTAGAAAGCATACCTAGGACAGGGGAAGAGAAGTTTGTGGTGCCGGTGACGAAAGAAGTTTCAACCGTTGACAGAGACAAGAGAAGAGAGCCCAGATTTTTGGGGATAAACTCTGAAAGAAACCGTATAAAGGGTAGAGGCGCAGCTGTAATTATACAGAAGAAACCCTGAATCGGCTAATAACCAAACAGAGAAGAAGGATTACAGTTATTGACAGTATCCCCCTTTGTTTCTTTTTTGGATAGAAACAAACAAAGCTGGCTGTGATGGTAATGGTGGAGAGAGGGAAGGGAAATTTAGGACGTGGGGATCAATGAAAGAAATCAATCAGCGAATCAGACAGAAGAAACTCCGGTTGGTAAGTGAAACTTGTTTATCCTTTTCAATTTTGATGTTGAGTTATGTTGACTATTCATCATTTTTCAATTATCATTTTATCAAAATTTAATTAATCTTTTAATTAGTGCATACATGTTGATATTGTTACCAAAGAGAGCATTATTTAATTAGCTCGCAAGTTGCAACTTAGCTTTTAAGTTCTCTCATGATTAATAATGCTTTGATGTTTTCTTTATAAATCAAATTTTTTGATAACTTCTTTATAAATCAAATTATATGGTGTTATCAAAAGAAAAAAAAAAAATCATTTTATGGTAAGATTGACATATCTCAAAAGTGAGGAAGTAAATCCTATGCCACTACACAATTGATCCCGGTTTCCTAAACAAGACAAGACACGTACCAATGACAACCATGGTTGTGAAAAGAAAAACTAGTTTGGTTTGGTCGGTTCGATAGGTACCGATCATCAAATTGGTTGGAAGCCCTCGTAGTATGAACGGTCAATCAAAGTGATCAAAATAGTAAAATCGATCTTATCAGAATGATCGATTATCGACACCTAGAAACAATGTCGCCATTTTGTGACTGTTTAATGGAAACAAAAAATGGAATTGGTTTTTATATGTAAGGATGTTCATTGCTTAGTTTGATATTTAAACATTAAATTCTAAGTGAGAACATTTGAATGTTTATGTTATTTGTTGGATTCAAGTATGAATGTTTAGATATTGATGTTATTTGTTGGATCCAAGTACAAATGTTTGGATATTGACATTATATGTTGTACTAAAATATGAGCGTTTGTCATTTCATTTTTATACGGATATAATTTGTAGGTAATTTTTCTTTAAAAAAATTTATATATACATGCATAATTCTTTTGATGCTAATTAATTTCTAGTTTCCCCACATATTATGTTAAAATCTGCATAAACCGATTGTACCCATTGGACCGTACCGCTTCCTTCACTGACATAAAAATTTAAATCGGTTTGGCAACCTTAATGAAAATTGGTAGTTAGCCGTAACTATTAATGTTTTGGGCGACTTTTAAGAACTTTAATGATCTTATTTAAGAACTAAAGGAAATTTTGAAATGGACTTAATAAATAACGTAAATTAACTTGTTATGAGATGAAAGTGGCCTAATTTCTTTATTTTTTTGTAATTTTAGTATTAAGAACTTGATCAATACTGCGAACCAATGCTACCATAACCAAATCAGAGTATGAACTGGTGTAGCTAAGAGTCCACACTTTACTTGTTTACTCGATATCAAACTGCTGACGAATCGATAGCTCATAAACAAGAATATTATAAATAGAATACATAATAATACACTACATCATAATTTTGAAATATAATACATTACCTTTAAACAAGCACGAGTATAAAGTCCTAAAGTCCAAATTCCAAACATTAATGTCTCCAATATAAAAAAAAAATTGGTTTAATTGACAATATGTCGCTCCAAAAATTTTCAATATTAACTATGATTTGGTCATTTTTTAGAATAGGAAGCACATTGAGCTGATTACATTTGCATCTTTATCAATAATGTTTGAAGTTGTATGCACAATAACACAAAATAGTGGTCAAGTATCTGGAAAAGTATTTGTTTTCTCTCTGAGGGGACTTGGGTTTAAATCTAAGCGGTGACATTTTATTTAACTCATCTCCTAATAGAAATTGCGGCAGGTGTCTGAATCGGTAGCCCGATTCGCCCTGTTCAAGCGGTTAATTGCTCGAGCTGATATTTGGCAGTGGGTTACCAATTTTATCGATTAGACCAACCAGCTCGATTTAGTTTTCACAACACGGCTACGAGAGTGATCAACAAGGCGCAATTTAAGCTTTTCATAATTTAATTAAAATTCAAAATAATAAATTAAATCAACTTTCCAATCAACCAAAATGTTCCACATGTTACACTCTCTTCTTCATTTTTTCCCCTTCCCGTCAATCTCAAATGGCTCATATCTTCTTTGTTTCAAATATGATTTTAATATTTTTGCACAAAAAAATGCCTATGTTAATTTGTTTTATGATAGGTTTTACTAATATTGAGCATTTGGAAAAAAATGAACTATCTAGAACTTATAATTGATTAATATTTTCAAGTGAGTTGCCATTTTAGAAATCTATACTAGGCATAGTACTTTTGTATAAAAATATTTTTGATATTCTTTAACCTTTAGGTAGATTATCAAGGTGTTTATTGCTTATGAAAGTATGTAACTATTTTACTGCAAGTTATCACACAAAACATGTATTGTTCAGCTTACATACTAAATTATTGGGGTAAATACCCTTCTTGCACTAAAAGACTACTTTGATGACATGATCCTTCATTTACCCATACAAAACAAATAAAACCATGCATTGTCATTTGTCAACAACATAATGGAAATGGACTGAGATGGGAAGATGTCTGCCGGCGAGAGTTTACATCGATCTTACTTTACACATGTAGTTGTTCTTTGATAACATACAAGATTAATCATGACTTTAGGTTGATCTCATCGTAAAATTGAAAATTGCGTACGATTTTGTCTCTCGTCACATGCAAGTTTAGATAAAAATACGGGACATGTGTAAGTTTTTGTAAGAAAATAATAAATTCATTTTTATGTTTATGCAAGAGATTGAATTCATCATTCTTTTGGTAGAATAACTCACCATTTTGAGGTAATGTTGATATGATTTGAATAAGATCACTTGTTGTCGATTGGATGTCACAGGGTCTGTTCTGTTCTTGGTCTAGTCTGTAACTTTATCCTTTATCAGATTGGATTAGAGTTAGGCTATTAGAGAAGTATTATGTACATATACTTCTCATACTCCTATGTAATATGCATCTCCTCAGGTATAGTGAAGCTAGCTCTCTCCCACCCGTGACTAGCTAACACACGTATTAGTAAACCATGCAAAATTGTGTATCTTTTACTTTCTTGTTGATCTTTGTTTTCTTGCATTGTCGAATGCCCGATCCTTCTCCGTGACAAGTAGCATGAAAGTATTTTACCTCTACAGTAAATCTCATTTTTTGTTTTAAGTGTATTAAATATTTATACTATGAAAAAGACACAAATACATTATTAGATTAATTATATCGCATCGGATTCCCTCTGTTCATAATTTAATTTTATTGTACAAAAAAAAATGCACTTTCAATTCAATTTCTGTCCAATGTCCATCCCCTTATCCCATATTCCCATACCATTACCATACATGGCAATGTTCCTTAATTACTTTTTTCTCACTCTATGATTCTCATTCTTATTCCATGCATGTGTATATGATAATAAATTAATCATAGAGTGAATCCAACCGAGAGCATGAATGATAGTGATGGCAATTTCAACCCGTCTTGCGGGTATTACTCGACCTGGCCTGCGATGGGGCGGGTATTACCCGACCCACAGTAGCGTGGGGCGGGGCATGGGTATCTACTTCCGACCCGTCCTGCCCCGTCCCGCCCTGCCCCGTTCTAGACTCATTTTATCTCAATTTCTTACAATATCTATACATATTTCTCCTATTTTGACTTTTCTTCAACTAGTTAGAGTCGATTTTTCAACTTGTTAGACTCAATTATCCATTCTATTATCAATATTTTTCATTCTTAAAGTGTTTTTCCCTACGTTTTATTGTAAAAAGTAAAATTTATTTGTATTTTTTTTAACAACATGTAAAAGTGGGTCGACCCGTCCCGCCCCGTACCCGCGCAGGTTTTACCCGCCCCGACTCGTAGTAGCGTGGGGCGGGGCATGAGAATTGAGGTACCCGCCCCGCCTCATTGCCATCACTAATGAATGACTATAACATAAATATTAGTACGAACTAACTAAATCTATTTACAATCTTTTATGATGTAGAGAAATATATATATATTTCGTCGAATTTCATTCAGCCTCTTACATATACAAGTGTATTAAGAACTAGCAAATTCAACCTACTAATAACCCTGGAAAAAAAATATTGTCTTTCAACTTCACTATGCTCAAAATCAACTCTTCTAAAATTTTGAAGAACTTGAAATTCTCTACCAAAGCATTTAATTTAGTATGTAGGTGGTTCAACTTAGTCAATTTTGATTTAGATTAGAGTTCGAAGACTCTTCTTATTTTCAATGGTGATTATACACTAATTTTGGCTCAATCTTGGCTCATTAATGA